AGCCACAAAAGGAAAGGGGGCTGTGGGGAAAGATGACCAGAATGCAATCTCTTTGGGACAAAGGCACAGTTTTCAGGTGTCACAGCTCTTTGGAAACACGCAGTGTGATCCACAGCGTTATTGGAGGAAAAAGCTATAATCTATACTTTTATAGGTTGCAGCACAACTGGATATTTATTTAATTAACTTGTATTAAAGAGCACATCAGTTAGGATATCTATGTGCCACCCTGGGCTCCTTTAAGAGAGTGAGACATAACATTTATTAATAAATAAAATGTGTGTGGGGGTGTAAATCAATTGCCTGAAGTGCAACCACAGAATTAAAACAGCACCAGATGCAGTGTAGGCTGGCCCATTAGGGCAAATGGAGCAAACGGGGAGCTGCCCAACCCTCTGCCAGTGTTATCTGCTTGCCATCTTCCTTACAACTACTCAGGGTGTGGGTGTAACTGACTATCATTGTGTTGCACAGAGCACTGCTGAACTGCAACAACCCCAAGGTCTGCCAATGCTGGTGACACCAACCATAGGATGGAAACCAACATTGAGCAAACAAGACTTCCTTCCTTCCTTTCCTCCTTCTGCAGCTCCTGGCCTGCCGCCCCAATCTTCCAGAGCAGACTTTGGCAGATGTTACTGAGGGCTGCAAGGGGAAGGAGACGAAGGGGACATTCAGTTGCATGAGCTCATGCACTGAATTCAGCCTGGCAGATTTCAGTTTGGTCGATGAATCAAAACATTTTAAGATTTGCTGCAGCCAAGGTTCAAATGTCTAAGCTTGGATGAATTCAATATTTAATTGTTAAAAAACAGCAAGTGTATTCAATTTGCTACTAGGCCAGGTTCAAGGTTCCTGCATGAACATTGTTGCAAAGCACCTTCAGGACCATCTGTCTTGATCACGGAGATCCTCTGATGACTTGTGGTTCCTCACACCTCTGAAGGTTCGTTGGCCTATTACAAACTGATCCCTGTTGCAGGTCCCGTCCTGTGGAACTGCTTGTAGAGATTCCACAGGAACCATTCAGGTTTTCTTTTAGACATTTCCTAAAAAATGTGTTACTCAGATGACATGCATTTATTCTTTGCAATGCGAATTCATTTTTAACCCAAATTTATTGATGTTTTTGTTGCTTTTATGGGAACATTTATGCTGTGTGCTGCCTTGCGGTGTTTTTATGCAATTGTGGTCTATAGGTTTTTCATAAATTGTAAGAGCATTTTGTGTTGGATTTTGAAGAAAGAGGGGTGTGTGCCTCTTCCTCTTCGCCAGTCTTCAGAAATAGCCATTGCTGCCGCTGCTGCCACATCTCCTGGGGCCAGTGTGCCATTGTGTGTCCCTGTGAGTGCAGAAACGGGGAGGGGATGGCAGTCCTACACCAGCCCATTCCCTTTGCCAGCTGCAGCTATCTTGTTAATGCAGTAGTGCCTCATTTACGCTGGCAGTCGCTGACCTCCCACAATCAGGCAGAGCTCACTGCTGCCAGAGGAAAGGAAGGACAGCTGCTTATAAAGATAGCCGGGCGAGTATGGAGAGGAAGACTGAGTTGGTGTGGTGTGGAAAGTACTGCTGAGAAGCACGGGGCAAGGAAATGCAATGCAATCCAGCTCTCTCCTCACTCCAGCACTGAGCTTCTTTCACTGCTGGAGGAAGACAGGCTATTCCTTGGTTTTCCAAAAAGGTGGACAGGACACCAAGCCTCATGCGTCCTGGTTAGGACAGTTCGTGGACTGATCCTCAAGTTTACGAAGCCTGAAACAGAATCCCCTCCAATGCACTCTGAAGTGTTTTGAAGACCGCTAATTAAAGAGATTTCTAATTCTGAACCATAGTTCTGCTTGTCTCTCAAGACAGAGAGTAACACCATGGGTCGTAATGCAGAAATGTTGACTTTCTGCATTAATCAATTTGTTATTTTAATTCCGAATACCATTTTATTAACTTTACATTGATATAACAATCCAGCCTCAAGGGCATCCTTATTAAGCGTTCCTGAATTCTGTTCTTAATGGCAAGCCAAATTGCTATGCTTTTATCCTTTCCTCTTTTGATTTATAAAGCAAGCAGTAATTACATGTGCTGGATGTGATGCCAGCTCAATCACAACTGTTCTTCAGAGATGTGAAAGCAATTGGGGGTGGGGGGAGTTTTTCCAAGTATTAGTCTCCCATTTGTAGAGTGGGACCGTTCATGCTACATGTGGACATCCTGTGTGCCAGAAGGGGCCAAGGAAGAGGAGAAAGACTGTGAACCCCCATGTTCTGCGGGGAAGTACTGGATTTTGACAAAGACCCTGAAAAGTATCAGAAGTGAGGAATGTATATGCACACAGCCAATGTGATACAGTGATTAAACCTTCTGCAACCTGGTGCCCTCCAATGTTTTGGACTATAACTCCTCATTGAGATGAGTTGTCCAAAACATCTGAAAGAAACCAGGACTGGAAAACTGGGTTAGAAGACTAAGACCAGTAAGATCCAGTTTCCGATCAGCCCTCTTCCAACCGTGAAGCCATTGCGAGGGCTGGATGGATGCCAATCCTGCCTTTCTCCTCACAACAGGCACTTCCTAGGTGGAACAGCGAAGGCTGCAGCCATCTGCAGAACTAGTTCCAAACTTAGGGAGACCTTCAAACCTGTGAGCTGGGCAATTCTCAGTTCAAGAGATGCTGCAGCAGCTGAACAGCCTTGACCCAAGTAAACAGAACCAATGCAAAGGTGTGTTTGTATCACCCACTTGATGAGAAAATAGAAGCAAATTGATGTACACCCAAATAAGCAGGATGCTCTCCAGCTGCTTTGCATACTGAATGCTCTAGTCAAATAACCTACACTGAGACTTTGATGCAGATTTAGATGCAACCCACAGTACTGCCCGATCTTAACTAAGCATTAGCAAGCTTGCCCTGGTCCATTCTAAAACCACCAGCAGCCACCTGACCGGGGTTTCCATGGGACTAGAAGGGTAAGAGGTAGTGTTGTGTGTCACTATCATCAAGTTCACACTTTATACCAAGCCTCTAGGAAATTGGTCTTCAACTTATGGGTTGGAGGACCCAATACCAGGTTAGATGGTATTACCATCTAAGATGGGTGGCAACAGCAGCAATGCCACCATGCAAATATAGGGTAAAAAAAGCAATGGATCCCCAAATGAATGTTTGGCTTAAAGCTGGGCCTCAGGTGGGAAACTATTGAATACTGCTGATTTAGCAGACTTCCCCCAGTAGTTTCTTGTAGATGCAAAAAAGCATGAGGAACAACATGGAACCATGAGTCACTCCAAAGACCAGCAACTATGACGTGGAACAGAAGACTACTGGAATTGATTACAGCAAGTTATCTGTGGGTTCCACCTTTTTATCTGCTGAGCTCCCATAGAGGAGCTTCACTACTTTAAAACAATCCATTAGCTCACATTGTACAGGTGCAACATTGACAAAGTAGACAGATAAGGATCTGGTCCTCTGGCTGAGATTCCCCACCCAGCGTTAAGAAATGGGTCTCCAAATGCATGTTTGGGTTAAAGGTTGCTCCCAGGTCTTGAAAAAGTTGAAGACTACTGGCAGTGTTGCATGCAAAGCAGGCCAGCATGTCCACAATATGCAGCATTCACAAGAGGTGGTGATTGCCTGTTCTGGATTTTTAGACAGTCTGTACAAATTGTATGATCATTAGGCCAATCAATGGCTATTAGCCACAACAGCAAAATTCACACCCCCATAATTCAGAGGTTTCCTGGTGTGGAGCAATGAGCCTAATCATGTCCTGCTTGTGATCTTCCAAGGTACTGGGAAATTATCTGAGGCAGCATAAGCAGTTTTATTCTGATATATAGTTCTAGTATAGCTCCCATAATACTAGAACCCTGGGCCACCAATAAAGCCAAATGTTAGAAGATTCAATCGAGACAAAAGGCAATCCTTCACATAACCAACTATGGCATTTGTCCCCCAAGTGGTGATGGCCACCTTGCACATCTTTAAGAGAGGGTTAGACAAATTCACAAATGTGTCACAGCCTATCAACAGAACATGGCCTTGTTTCCATTAACACATGCCCAGGTTGCATCAATACTAGGACTGCTATAATGTGAGCGCTGCTCTGGTTCGCCAGAAGTGGCTTAGTCATGCCGGCCACATGACCCAGAAGCTGCACGCCGGCTCCCTTGGCCTATAGAGCGAGATGAGCGCCGCAACCCCAGAGTCGGCCACGACTGGAACTAATGGTCAGGGGTCCCTTTACCCTTTTATAATGTGATCAGAATGGGTTTGCCTTTAAATAGTATTTAGAAAGGGAGGAGGTGGAACTAAGTCACCTGTAAGCCATCTTGGTTAATGAGTAGGGAAAAACATTTTAAGTAGGATGTAGTAGTACTGCCATTCACTTTTTCCTAAATGGAACAGGAACATGCAATTTGAAATACTGCATCCACACCCATATGGACCTGCTGATGCCTTCAGGTTGATTGGCTTCCAAAGCCTGCCTCAAGATTCATCAGACTAGCAGCCACTAGTCACAGGTCCTTCTCAGTAGCAGTCACGTTCTTTGAAACTCTCTTAAAAGGAGCATGCAGGGCTGTTTTTGCTAGTTTTCAAGCAGCCCTGAAAAACTTATTTGCTTAAATCTGGATTTTGTATTCATAATATTGTAATCTGGATTTTAATCAACTGCAGATTTTTTTTTTAAAAAAACCTGTTTTGTTTGTATTTTAAAATTTGTTTCAATAGCCAAGAGGGCTTAGCCCTCAAACATGGCCCCTTAATTCCACCAATTACCTGACAGACTTTATGCTGAAAAGTCTGCAATTTCCTAGATTCTCTGTGAGAATGAGATAAAAGCTTAATGAAATGGTGAATATTATACGAAATTCGAGTTTTAACTGTGATATATTCAGAGGTTGCCTGATTTGTTTAAAAGTGTATGAAATCTTTCAGTGACAGCCATGCTTTGCTCCAACCCCAGCAGAGTAAAATTAGGATGAACACAGATAGCAAGCTGTGGAGAAAAAAGTATTTTATATGTGTATTTTTGCACTGGAGGTGAACAGATGAGAGCTTTGCCAATGCAAGCTTTTATTGCAACTCACATTTTAAGACTTCACAACTATGAATCTATGGCAGTTGTAAAGACATATCTGTAGCTATGGTAAGGGTTATTTCCTTACAGGTGCTGATCAGAAAGTAATTCCTCCGACTGAAAACATTCAGATGTCCTGGCAAAATACATATAAACTGCTTGAATCTATTTGCTTTTATGTACCCAGTTTTGCTTTTCAGCAAGTAAGGTTTCCTATGTGACAATCCTAACATAGTTGTTGAACAATGATCCACACTAGTTAAAAGTCTATTTATTCTGAACAATTTCAGTCATGGTCTGCAATTGGCACCTTAAACTGAACCTATAAAAACTGGCAAAGAATAATCTGGAGTCCTAGCCACACACCTACCTCTGGGTGCAGCATTCTAGACCAACTGAATTATCGGGGCTATTAAGACCTTCTTCCACATTAATTTAAGAGAAGGAACAATTAAATTCTAGCTTATGGCCTAATTGGCCCCTTTTTTCCTGCTTGAAGCTTATGCTGAATACTGTATTTCAACAGGTATTTCGTTATGCCATCTAAATGGTATGCTGCATTGCTTCAGTTTCTAATTTTAGGGCTGCATTTTTGATGTATTGTATTCTTTGGCCATGTACACCACCTCTGAACATGCTTATTCCCCGCAAAATACAAAATAACTTCATAAGCACAAAGAAAATCAACCTTATGGAGCTCTCATTATAGTGCTCTCATTATAGGTCAGAAAAATACAAATGATTCTAGAGAATAAGGTCCCTGAAAATGTATCAGCTTATCACTAGAGCTGAAGTAAAGAGGAGGGGCTGACCAGTTTCTCGCATGATTGTTAAGCATCATCAGGGGAGCTGTGGGGCTAGTGAAACTTGTACTAACCTGAACTATTTCAGTTTTCAGGGCTTGGATTGCTGCTAAATGGCAGCTAAAGAGTAGACATTGTTATGCGTTTACCAAAAAAAAAAAAAAAAAAAAAGCATAAAGTTTGATAAACAATCTAAGTAAAAAGAGGAATCTGTTTCCCATTTCAAATAGTATTAAATCATTTGTGATAACATTTGTAATAGACCAACATCACAGGCCATTTCCAATTTCCTTTACTCGCATACCCAAAGCTAAGGTTAGACTACTCTATAACACCATCTAGCAAATAAAGCTATGCTACAAACACTGGAGTCAATGATTTAATTTTATACAAGTCAAACTACACATTGTATAAAGGTTACACGGCTGTGCTAATATTCTGTTATTGTTGCTAACTGGTTTGCTACAAACATTAGGGGAACTGATTTTATTTCTCATCCAGCTGCACAAATCATAATGGGAAATCTAGTTCTTGACTACCCATTAACACTAGAACTTAAGTTCAGTACAAGAAGTTTCATCAAGTGCCATCAATTTCATGGGAAGTTAGCAACCTCTTATAACTGAGATGCAGAATGTGGCAGCAGTTAAGACAACAAAACAACCAACCAAAGAACTTGGCAACTAAAAAGTAATGTGGTACCTTGAATTTCACTTGATGTTAGCTTTATTTTGTTAGGCAAAACTGCAGCATGCGAAGTTAGAGAGGATCATTTTTATTAGGTTGTCAATACTGCCTCAAGATGGTGACAAAGGAGCAAGGAAGTAACTTCTGGCAAGTTTGGGTACAACACAGAAGAAGTGTTCCAATTCAAACTCATAGTTGGCTTATCAGCTTTATAAGCATCTCTGACCTGTTCACTAAGGCTCTCATGCACTTTTAGAAGCAAGCCATAGCCTATTAATTCCAGTAATTTTAAATAACGGAAACATTTATGAATAGTTACCTTTCCAAAAACCTTCTGCACTCAAAAGATTTTATATAAAACTCATTTTCCACTCCCCAGATTTCTGATGGGGCACTATTAAAAAATAATAATCAAGCATTTGCCCTAATTTCTACAAAAAGATAATCTTTTCCTGCTCTTTGCCACTTTCACAAAAAGTTTTAGATATTTCAAACTTTTGCGCCTCGTTTATGTGGTTTTCAGACTGCTTCTTTCTGCAACTAAGCAGGCCAACTTCGCCAATACTAACATAAAAAAGACCTCTGGCCTGGAATACAAATGTTCCATAATCATGTGAAAAGGGAAATGAGTTCCAGTATTAATCTTGTGAACTGGATCGTGAACGTGAGCGGGATTTTGAATGTGATCGTGACCGGGATCGCGATTCATTCCTCTTGGGTGGGGATTCTGACCGTGCCTTTGCTGGTTCATCCTGCATTGGCGAATTGGAACGAGATCTGCTCCTTGACCTTGATTTAGACTTTGCTTCTCCTTTACCATTTTCTTTTGGCGATCGAGACACAGACCTGGATCTGCTGCGAGACTTCTCAGACTTCTCTTTGGATCTGCTGCGGGATTGTGAACCCCTGTCAGATTTCATCTTAGACTTGCTCTTTGATCTTGACTTTCTACTTTTAGATCTGGACCGTGAACGATCTTTGCTTCGAGACCTAGATTTAGAGCTTTTCAAAAGAACAAAAGTTATTTACTTATTGCAAGTCTACACACAGAAGCCCATTTGTTTGGATGCATAGTAATTTAAATACCAATGCACAGTGTGTGCACTTAAGCTAGGAGAATATTTCTATCGGACACACCTCCTAATGCATTGTTGGCAAGACAGACAGATAAATTCAAATTCTCACCGAGATCGGCTTTTTGAGGCACTACGGGATCTACTGCGGCTGCTCCTACGACTTCTACTACGTGATCTCCTTCTGGAACGGGACCTAAAAAAGAAACACAGCAGTTATTTGGGCACCATGCACCACTGGCACAACAGGACTTCTTTTTCTTCTCCCCCCCCCCCCCAAATCTGCTGAGAAGGACGTGCTGGGGACAAAAGCGGAATTTAATTGCACATACAGAAGTCCCAATCCAGAGTTCAATATGTCCTGAAGTTCCCACAAATTTATTGTGCACATTATTAGTACAGCCAGCTAACTTTAGTATAACATCTGAAGTGGGGACCCCTGTTACCCAACACTGCAAGGTGTATTCTTCTCTATTCAGGGAAATAACTGCTGCATATCCCCATTTCCGGATTTAAGTCATACGCAGAAAATCTTACAAACCACATCAGCACCAAAGATACCTTGATCTACTGCCAGAATAAGATCTTCTATGGCTTGACCGTGGCTTGTCTTCAACCAGCCTGATCTTTCGTCCATTTATCTCTGTACCATCCAATTTGTCCAGAGCACGCTTCATGTCAGAGTAAGAACGGAATTCAATTACTCCTTCATTTGTGCGTTCTTTGTGAGCATCCGCATACGTTACCTCACCAGCCTGCCTCATAAAATCCTGAAAGAGAAAATTGAATTATTAAGTCTCTCCACAAACATAGGAAGGGCACTACACCAGCTTCAGGAAAAAATAACTCACAAAGTTCAGCAAACTCAATACACATACTTTTCAAAGTGAACTGGCATTCTTTAAAGTTTATGAGATTCAAAGAGCTATCTGATAACTTGCTTTAAAAAGAAAAGATTATTGTGTCAACGTACTTTCAAATCCTGCCAACTACAGCGACTGGAAAGGTTTTCAACAATTAATCTGTATTCTGTGCGAACAGGTGGTCCATATTTATCTCTTCCTGATGCTCTTCGACTGCTATATCCTCCTCCACCTTTATCATACAAAGATACAAAGTTAGCAACCTTGTATAAAAGCAATGAAAAGTTAGTTTACTTTAGTTCACAAATTGCATTTACAGGAGTAGGACTTTATCTTTCTAATCCTGCAACAAAATTTTTAATTCGCCACATTTTATATATTAAGGGCAAATCAAAGACTAAAATCCTACAAGACTGTGCTCCTAAACTCTGTTAGAGAGTGACTGCTCCTTATTAGATTTACCTTGCTAAGTTTTATTTTACAGAACATTGTAAAATATAAAACTTAACTGATTACATGCATTTCTACATTTTACAAAAACGATTACTAGATTACACTAAGTACTTACATCACAGTATGAGGTATTTGGTGGTGGTTTGGCCACAACACACGCAAGGTAACAGTCACCTAGTTCAGTTTAACCAGTTTTGTCTAACCCTTGGAATCCTCACCATCACCCTGCGTCTAATGGCAAAAGGCTGCTGTCGTCATGGCTTCCGGTAAGGTCAGCCAAAGGGTCATAGGGCAAGGGTCACACAATGTATGGAAAAGCCATGGCCAATCAGGAAAGGCAGTCATCTTAGCCTCAGTGGACACAGCCTCAGCCCCACTGGTCACTTTTAAATTGAAACATCAAGGACTTGTTAAAAAGTTTGAATTGAACATGCAACAACTTTAAAAACAAACATACACATTTGCAAGAAATCCCACCCCCACCAGCAACAACCCATTAGAAAAGATATTTGACTGCCTTACTGCTCTTAACCATTATATAAATAAGTCTGACGCATCCCAGATCCTTTCCAGGAAAAGCTAAACAAAATGGGCTTTGCATCAGCATGTAGTCATTTTATTTCCAATTCGAAATAATCGGTTTCTGTGAAAGTCAGCTATTGCCACCCTCAAAAGTCCCAACAGTTACTTATGCTTGGGAACATGAAGCAAAGTGCTTCTGAAGACAATACTTCTTAAAGACGGCTGTGCCTGTTTTAGGTTAGCTCCTCCACAGCACAAACTTTCTCCGAATTGCAGTATTTGCTATGCAATATCTGCACGGAATGCATTCTGATTAAGAGCAGTGAGTTCTTAATACAACCCACCCCCCACAAACGCCCCCCTCCTCTGCTCCGAGAAACCCCAGCCTAATAAATAAGGACCCTAAACTTCTTGAGTGCAGCTTGGCACTGCGGGTGCCTAACCCCCACCAGAAAACTCCCTAGGCTATGCACCCAAAGGGGAAGAAGTGCAGTAAAGCCCCTCCTAATAACCCTGCCCAATCCACCCACCCCCAACAAGGGGCCTACGATCCCTCCTCCCCAAGCCCCGCCGTGTCCCCTCCCTCCGCTTTCCCCACACCCCGAGGGGCCAGTCCGACCAAACCCACCCCCCCTTCTCTCCCCGCCTAACCTCCCTCCCGCCTGATCCCTCCCCCGCGTCCTCCCTTCCCGCCTCCGCGCGCCTGCCCGAAGTAGGCCGCGGCGGAGCAACACTCACTGCGGCTGCTGTAGCTGTAGCCGTCCCTGTCCCGGCGGGGGCCGCGGGCGTGCTCCACGATCACCCGCTCCCCGCACAGGTCCTTGCCGTTCAGCTCGTAAACGGCGTCCTCCGCGTCCCGGGAATCCTCGAATTCCACAAACCCATACCTGGGGGGGGGGGGAGACGGGAAAGTTACCCTATAGGCGCGTCCCCGTGTCATATACATGCCTACGTCTATTCACAGGCATTCCTATGGGCATAATAAACACGAGCACGTCGGCGTCAGGCACGCGCGAACAACAACGGGCCCGGCCTGGTCGTGAGTCCCTGAGGCGCCGCTGTCAAAGGAGGACCATTCCGTTCTCCCTCTCCGCTTCACTCGTTCCCTCCGCTGACGGGACAATGGGGGCTGCCGCCATTTTGAACGCGACGCCACGCGGCATGAGGCGAGGGGGAAGAAGCGGCGCCCCAAGCCCCCGCCCCCCCCCGCCGCGCCTCCCTTCCCTCCTTACTCGAGGAAGAAACCCTCCCCGCCCGCCGCCTCACCCGTTTTTCAAGTCGACCTCGAGCAAGCGGCCGTAGCCGCTGAAGAAGCGCTGCAGGTCCTTTTCCCGCACATGGTAGCTCAGGCGGCCGATATAGACGCGCGGCATCTCCCGCGACCTAGAAAGGGAGAAAAAAAAGGGGGAAAGAGAGGGAAGAAGGCGTGAGAGCCGAAAAGGAAGATCGGGCGCCGGCGGGACAAAAAGGCCTCGGGACACTCGCGGCTGCGGCCTGCTCCGCAGCACAATGGCGCCCCACCCCCCGCGCGGGCTTTTATAGGGGTGGGCGGAGCCTGGGCTGGGTCAATGGCGTGCGAAAGCGTCACAAAAGGGAGCCGGTGGAACGAGGGCGAGAGAAGAACAAGAGGCGCTGGGGAGTGCGCGTGCGCGCAGCTCTCCGGACGCTTCCGTCGTGCCGTATCTTAAGTTTGCGCTCCACCGGGCGGGGGGGGGGGCAGTTGAAGATCATGTGAGGTAGTAGTAGAATCGCTAGTTTGCGCATGCGCGTTGGCCCACGAGCCTAGAGCCGTTCGATTTGTACTACGTGCAGGCTTTGCTTTTAGAAAGCCATGGACGGGAAAGGGCGAAAACGCAGAGTGACGCCTAACCCCATTTACCCCGGAGTACGCCAACTGAATTGGACTTTTAGTATGTTGTCTTTTCCGTGCCCGCTGAAGTCCTTCATTTTATTATTTTAAAATAAATTTACTTTTAAGAATATTAGCTAGGTGCAGAATCGAAGAAATGGTACAAGGCATTTGCCATTTTTGGGCCAGTAACACGTTATTGCAAAGCAAGGTTGGTGAATGCAAGACACCAAGTAACAATGGATCCAATAACTGCTCCCCCGCAAGATCCCGCTCCTCATAAAAGCCTAATTTCGTAGCAGTTCGCACGCAGCGCATCCTCCACAATAACGCTTCAGCAAAACTGAATTACAAGTAGCAGACAAAGATGATGAGGCCATGAAAACTATGCTACATGGCAATATATAAAAGGATAAAATGATAATCTGTAAGAACAATGGACAAGACGGAAAAACATAAATGCAGATGTTAAGCGGTCCATTTTTTTACATAGGGTGCTGTGTATTGTCTTGCTTATTGACATAACTGATAAAAGCCTTTTGAGTTGAGATCTTTCCCAGTCTGCACCTCTACTGGAATTATTATTATTATTATTATTATTTTATCACTTCTTGTTGGTTTCACTGGGCTCCATTGGTAGGATATAAATTTAATAAATAGCAAATGTCCATACCTTTGTTTTGTTAGAACACCATCTAATGTGGCTATCCAGGAAACCTAGCTCTGGACCTGCCCTTCAGCCCCATCATCTGCTATCCTGTGGCCCTCAGCATCATTATTCTGAGGAAATGTGGCCCCCAACAGAAGAATGTCTCCCCACCCTGTTCTAGAACATGGTTTGCGTAGCTTGTTGAAGGTCCAGAGCACTGGTAGTGCTGAAGGGCCTAGTGTGAGACATAGCATACAAAAGGGCAGTGATGGTTGAGAGTTTGGGGGCAGCAGAATGTGGAAGAGCCCTAACTTAAAAAATAATAATTCCAAAATCAAAACTAGTGATTTTGTAGTGAGGGCAGAAGCAACTCACTGAGTTAGGGGGGTAGAGGGGGAAGGAATGAAGTTGGTGGAGAAGTTGGTGTGGGGCAAATACAATGGTGTAGCCAAACTGGTGTTCCTGCTTGTGTGTTTGCACTGCACCAACTTCCATGCTTCCTCTGGTAAGGAAAAGTGACCCACCTTCCAGGAAGCTTGCATCGCAGCTCCATCCCACCTTGCTTCTGGGGGAGGGGATGAAAAAATTGTGGGTGTAGCCCCCTGGTGATTACTGGGTGGAGTGTTTGGCGCTACATAATTTTTGATTTTGATGCCCCTGTGCTAGATAGAGCTTAAAGCTTTTGGCAGATCTCTCAAAGGCCCCCCTTTAAATATTTAAACTTCTCTAATATTCATTACCTCCTTAGTATTAAAATGCACTTGCCATTGCTGCTCTCAGACATGCTGCTTCATTTTGAAAATATACAGTTCCCTTGGGTTTCTCTGTTTGTGTTTGTGACATTCAACTCTTAAGGCCTTTTCCAGAAAACATTAAAAGATCCTACTTTTTAATACTCTTCAATTTGCAGGTTTCATCCTCATGTTTCATGGGCAAATCACCTATGTCTATTAACTTCACTAAGAAAACCCACCAGAGACTCCTACCTAAATCTCATAATGTGACTCCTGTCTCCTGGTTAATCACTAAGAGTCTAATTGCTGAGCTTCCTTGGAGGAGGGGAAAAACGTGATTGGTTTCTGTGATGAAAAATATGCTCATTTTCTGCCACACATTGTAGGAAATGAGCAATTTACTAGCCTCAAGAGGTTTTACCAATAATCTAGATTGGCTCTGTGTTGTGAATAAGCAACATTTTCATTTAAGAATTTGTATGTTTGATGTTTTACTGCTTTTACTCACCTTTCTTTTTTTAAATATACATTTTTATTAGTTTTTACATATATTTTCCAAACAGAACATCTCATCTCATCTCATCTTATACAACATTTTGGCTATTTTAGCCTGAGACTTCCATCAACCACGTCTAATGATTTTCAAACCTCATCTTTTAATCTTAAATTTGTTATCCTAACTATTACTTTTAATGATCCATAACTTAAAATCCATTATCATAAATCTTTTCTGCAATATTTCATACAGTTCTCCTTATAAAACGTCTTGTAGTCCTACAAGCATAGTGAGTTGGTTACAATTGTCTTTCAGATATATATGTATATTTACTCCAATCTTTCAAGAATTTCTGGTCCTGCTGGTTTTGAATTCTTCCTGTCATCTTATCCAATTCTGCGTAGGCCGTCAATTTCATCTGCTATTCCTCTTTTGTTGGTAGTTTTTCCTGCCTCCATTTCTGTGCCAATAATACTCTTGCTGCAATTGTCACGTATAAAAACAGTTTTTTATCTTGTCTTTTAATGTCAGTGCCTACAATACCAAGTAAAAATGTTTCTGGGTTGTTTTTTTATAAATGTATATTTCAGCATCTTTTTCATCTCATTATAAATCATTTCCCAGAAGCCTTTCACTTTCTTACATTCCCACCACAGATGATAAAAAGTGCCTTCCTTTTCCTTACATTTCCAACATTTATTACTTATTTTATACATTCTAGCTAATTTCACTGGTGTAATATACCATCTATACATACTCACTATTTTATTTTTTTATACATAGCAGTTATCAGTGGCCATATAGAAATCATAAACACGGAAGCCTAGGCAGCGCACTCTGAGGAAGCTTTACAGGAGTTCATCAACGATTTCCCCCAAGTTCTGCCTTACTATCAGCTTGATGAAGATCAGCTTCCTGGGTCAAGATGTCGCCAGCAAGACGTCAGCATTGGTGACCACATGCTTGAGGTGGTAGATGATTTTGTATACCTGGACTCCGCCATAGCCAGCAATCTTTCCATCGATGTTGAGCTGGTCAAGGCAGCTACAGCAATGGCTTATCTCTCCAAAAGGGGATGAGAGAATGTGATGCGAACAACCAATACCAAGATGAAGGTTTCCTAGGCTTGCATGTGGCGCACACTGTTTTTATGGTAGTGAATCATAGGTAACTTATATTTGCCAGGAGCATTGCCTCAACACCTTCCACATGCACTGCGTCAGGAAGATTTTGGGATCTCACATGGCAGCACAGAATCTCAAACCAATATGTGCTCTGCCCAGCCCATGTTTCCAGCATGTTCGCACTTCTGTCTCATGCTGCCTTGGTCATGTCTATGCTGCCTTGGTCATGTCCACAGAATGGGAGATGGTAGGATCCCCAAGGGAGCTGGCTTCAGGCACCAGGCCCATTGGCAGACCAACTCCACGTTACAAAGATGTCTGCAAACATGATATGAAGGATGGCAATATTAACCCCACTGTGTGGGAATCCTTTGTGGGTGACCACAGCACCTAGAGATAGTTCATATATCTTCAGGAGTGACCAGAGGAAGAATAACTGCTGGGAGGAGCACCGAAAGAAGATATACCGTATTTTTCGCACCATAGGACACACTTTTTCCCTCCTAAAAAGCAAGGGAAAATGTGTGTGTGTCCTATGGAGCGAATGCAGGGGGGAGGCAGGCGGGAAAAGCCCTCAAGAGCCGCACAAAAGCTTCGTGCGCTCTTGCGGGCTTTTCTCCAGGAGGGAGAAGGGACTGACTGGCCGCATCAGTCCCTTCTCCCTCCTGGGGGAAAAGCCCCCAAGAGTGGCACCCTCTTTAAAGGCTGTGCGGCTCCTGCAGGCTTTTCTACGAGGTGGGGGAATCCCCCCACCTCCAAGAAAAGCCAGGAGAAGCCGCGCAGTCCCTTTAAAGAGCGCTCGGCTTCTGCGGGAGGTGGGGGAAGCTGCAGCAGATTCCCTCCTCCTGGGCTCCCTTTGAAGCGGCAGTGTGGGGGGGGAGCAGCTTACACTCATGTAAGCAGCTCCTCTCCCACTTTCCTGCTTCGAAGCAGCTACGGAGGAGGGAAGGAAGGGGACCATGGATCCTCCGCTGCTCACGGCTGCAGCAGATTTCCTCCTCCCGGGCTCCCTTTGAAGCGGGAAAGTGGGACGGGAGCAGCTTACACTTGTGTAAGCAGCTCCTCTCCCACTTTCCTGCTTCAAATTGAAGGGAATCCACTGCAGTTGCGAGGAGGATCCATGGCTCCGCTTCCTTCCCTCGAAGCAAGGTGCGGGGGGTGCAGGGGGAAAGACGGCAGGAAATAGATGCCGGGCAGGAAGACACAACCACACTTTGACCACTGAAAATCCACCCCAGCCTCCCCAGATTTCCACTGAGACGGCCAGGCTAATCTCGATGGCCATAAGTCAGGCTCAGCATTATTAACTGGACTTAGATAAGTCATGGTTCCCCTTCCTACCCTCCTCTGAGGCTCAATTTAAAGTAGCAAAGTGGACAGGAGCCGCCCGCTTTGCTGCTTTAAATAGTTTAGTGCAACATTTGATTCAGAATATTTTTTTCCGTATTTTCCTCCTCTGAAAACTAGGTGCGCCCTATGGTCAGGTGCGCCCTATGGAGCGAAAAATACGGTACTTACATCAGTACAACAGGATGCCTTCATCTGCCCCACTGCAACAAAACTTGTCTCTCCTGTATTGGTGTCCATAGCAGTCATTGTAACTCTCAGTCTGACTTTACCCCACAAGGTGCCCTGTTCCATTGTTCCATTTTGTAGCTGTTGGGATTTAAAATAAGAGATTTAAATAAGTATCTTTTGCATATTGGAGACAACAGGAGTTTGATTAACTGTATCTAACTGTTTAAGAGTGTACTTCTGTACTTCAGTGACACTGGCTTAAGTTTTTGTGGAAACCCTACTGTTATGTACTAAGCTTGGATCCTAGAACAATAGGCAAGTAGGATCCTAGAATGCAACAACTGATTGGCTTGCAGGAAAAGACCAATCAGGCTCCAGGAGGGAAGCAGAATCAGCCAATCAGATGGGACTCATTGTATAAATAATGTATATAAAAGCCTGAGGTTTGGGGGGCAATTCAATCACTGCTCTACAAGCTGCAATAAAGAGCATGAAATCACTACAGGACTCCAAGTATATTTCACCTACCATGCTGGCAGAACATGAGATTAGCAGCTGGCATGAAAGAGACTCTAGGGTGGGATTTGCTGTGCCTACACAACTGTGCTAGTTGTGTAGCAGCCAAAGTGAGGTCGGACAGGGCAGAAGGAGATTTTGCACAAAATCCTCTACCCTGGGCTGAGGAACCTCTGGTTCACAGACCAATTTTTGCCGCCAGGGTGGTCCAATTTGGCTGCTGGGGCTGAAAGTTTTTAGGAGACTCCTATTCCCCTCCTAGGGCTATCATTTCCAGAGTAGATTAACAATCAATCCCTCTTTCCGGGGAACTCTGGGAATTATAGCTCTGTGAGAGGAATAGTGATCTCCTAAGAACTCTGGGCACCCGTAACAAACTACAGCTCCTTTTGAGGGAAGCCATGACTACTTGAAGTGACTTGGCCCTGCGTTAAATGTACAGTTGCAGATGGGGTCTGAGTGCTAGAGATCTGTCAGCCACTCACTAAATAACAACTTCTCATCTGCATAATTATGAATTGCAGATCTGCAGTACTGTGTGTCACACTACCGTGAGAGAGGAACTGAAAGCAGCAAGAATCTCACAGAATGGAAGCCTGTGGCGGGAGGGAGGGGGGTGGCAGTGCAAGTGCCGTAAAAAGAAAATCCAATCATTCTCTCCTTTCCTCCTGAAGGTAGAAGCAAAGCTCTGTCTGATACTCAGATACAAGGCTGTGGAAGTCAGCGATAAATCATAATCCGCTAGGCAGAAATCAGTGGTCTGGTAACCTTTATTGGACTCTTTATTGTCAAACCAATAAAAGATATCTCTTCCCCTAATTTGTCTGTTCTGCCAAGAGCTAATATTTGGCTATAGCTTATTGCTTATAATCTGTTGTCAAAGAAGGCTTCCTTGTAAAATTGATGGGATTTTTCCCCAGAACTGGCCAGCCGGGAAAATACCCATTCATATTAAGGAGAGAGCATAAAATAACCGAATAGCCTTTATCTTCTAAACATCAGCTATTCAGCAACAGATTGCTTTGTCAAAGTATAGATTTTGAAATTCTTTCCACTTTGCGGTTAGAATCGTGAAATGGTATAAAATGTGGTGGCTAGATTTTTGACTGAAATGAGCCCAATGGAAAAGCTTCATACTAATTTATTTTAAAAATGTCCTGTCCTGTTTGCCATTGTGAAACAATATCTGGGCAGACAGCAACACAGAGAAAATGAACAGAAAATGAAATATAAAATTGCACAGCAAATGAATCACTAAATGAAATTCAGTTTGTACCACCCTCTCACTCTGAGCTCTTTACGCAAAGGCTTGATGGAAAAGTATTGTTTTCCCCTGGTGATGGTAGCTAGTTAATTCTGGCACTAGTCTAACCTGCAAGGGGAGGGTATTCCACAACTCAGGAATATTCCAAAACTTTTTTTGACATGCTGTTTTCCAAGCATGGTAGATGTACTCATTTATGACAGAAGTGAACCAACTGACTATTTAAATATAGTCTTGCAGATGCATGAATTTGGCAGGTGGAAGAGGAAGAGATCTTTCTAGAAGGAAAGAATATCCAGGATTTAGGTGCTCAGTGTTAAGAAAACGTGATGTTCTTCAAAGCATCTCAGCCTGGAATTGCACACGCGAAACAATAATCTGACCGATGGGTAAAATATTACGTATTTCTATTCATGATTTGGGGAGTAATTGAATTTTTAAGGTAAAATGTTAATAGCAAAGAAAATATAAAAGCAACCTCTTCTTCCAGCTATACAGTAGATTTAACCTTAAAAAATGATAATGGTTGTCTCTGTACAAATTCTGAGTTATGGCACAAGCATTTGTAACTTTTGCACAAAATCAATCACCTTTCCTTTGATCCCAGTAATTTCATACACGTTTTGGATTTATTGGTAGATTAGGAGCTCACATTATTCTGCTGATTGACAAATTGCCAGCAGAGAGCGCTGCAGACAATACATTAAATTCCAAACACTGCTTTTGGTTTTGTATTAGACCAATGCTTAATTTGTTAGTAGGTCATTGATAATTTTCAGTTATGATACTATGTGTGTTTTGGAGACATGGTAGATGTTGCTAAAACACCTCAGGCGTCATTCAAAATACCAATATTTGCACAGAAGCATTCAGGCTTAAATGTAAAGTAGGGGCGTTTATACATGTATGCATGTATTTATTTATTTGCTATCCCACATTTCATCCAAGGAGTTCAACGTGACTTGCATGGTTTTCCCTCTCTCCATGTCATCATCACAACTCTTGGCTCAAGGCCACCCAGTGAGCTTCATGGCCAAGTGGGGATTTGAACCCTTGTCTCACAGGTCCTAGTCCAACACTCTACCAATACAGCATACCGTATGAGTAGGCAAACTAAAGCCCGGGGGCCGGACTGGCCCAATTGCCTTCTCAATCTGGCCCGTGGATGGTCCAGGAATCAGTGTGTTTTTACATGAGTAGAATGTGTCTTTTTATTTAAAATGCATCTCTGGGTTATTTGTGGGGCATAGGAATTCGTTCTTTTTTCCCCTCCCCACAAGGTCTGAGGAACAGTCCCCTGCTGAAAAAGTTTGCTGACCCCTTGCATACTGTCTCCCTTGTATAGCTTTATCAAACCATTTCTTTAGCAGCTGTGCAGTCCTGACTCCCAGGGAGGCTTACATATTTAAAAACTTATATATAGTGAACTCTAAGAAAGATGAGTTTGGCAGGCAGTTAAATGCCCTTAAAAATGTTTTTACTGGGAGCTGAAAACAGACCAGGGGCAGCACCAGACAGGAATGGCTTCCTGGGCTAAATTGGGAGGTCAGGAAACTAGATAGTCTGGTACTGACGCAATTTCAGGCTTTTGCCATCAGATGTCAGTATACTGAAATAAAAGTAGAATAAAATAAAAGCTCCTCTGCTCTTCAGATTTATTAAGGCAGTCATCTTTTTCTAAGCAAAATTGCTTCCCAAACATTTTGTTTATCAACAACCAGTGAGAACACCTTGCTCTGTCTACCTTTCACTCACGTTTCTCTTTTGTGCTGTCTTCACCGTTTTCTCCCTTTTGCAGCATTCATTCCCTTGATTCTTCTCGTCTGTTTCCCATCCACTGCTGCCCTCGCTTAGCAAAGCCAGATCTCTGTTGCCTGTAGATGCCCCTGACAGTCGCACATCCACATTCCACTGACTGTGTTCACACTGGGGAAGGTGGGCGACACACTTCCGTTGGCAACTAGTTTCTGCAGTTGGGGGGGGGGTGTAAAAAAGACACTATCCTCACAATACAAAAGGTCAATTTTGAAGAAGGATCCCTGAATTATCTACAACCCAAGTTACAAATGAGCTGCACCCAGGTCCAGTAAATCCTGTCGTGATAAACCTGATAAAGTCCCCAACCAATTAGGGGTGAAGAATAAGGCTAAGCCTGTCTAATTTCCACTTCCTCAAACAATATGTGATCCAAAACACAGCTATCTTTTGAAATTTGCACTTATCCAAATATCGTGATGGGGTTCTCCAGCCTCAAAATGGGAATAAACATGTGTACAACTCAGGGAAAGGGGCCATAATAATCCCACCTGCCGGCTGCTGGGAAAACGCTGCACAACGGATGCTGACAGGTGGGCAGGACAACCCAGCTGTCAATCACCTGATGTCAAAGTTGCGCTGAGAAAACCCTCCATGCATACATGTACACCAAGGGGTTCTTTCAGACTTTGTAATGACCCAAAGCTTAGTTTGGAGTGCACAATCTCAGCTCCTTATTCATTTACAGCTTTTTTGCTGTTTAATACTGAATATATCTAAGACTCCAAGAAGATGATGATGATGATGATAATTGATTTATACCTTGCCCATCTAGCAGGGTTTGCCCAGCCACTCTGGGCGACTCCCCCCAAAAATATTAAAAACACTAAAGAACATCAAGCATTATGCTGTGACTCCTGTTCCACACCAGGCATAGGCAAACTCGGCCCTCCAGATGTTTTGAGACTACAATTCCCATCATCCCTGGCCACTGGTCCTGTTAGCTAGGGATTGTCAGAGTTGTAGTCCCAAAACATCTGGAGGGCCTAGGTTGCCTATGCCTGTTACACACACATACACACACACACACACGCACACACACACACACGTGGAGTTTGTAAGATCAATTCTGTCCACCTATTCCCAGAAGCTTGTTTTTTCCTTCCCAACCAGGGAAACAAAATACCTACCTTTGATCCAACGGATGGTTAGCCCAAGGCAGCTGCCCAATCGCAACATTTTGATTGTGGAGCAAAAATTTCTTTCCCCCCAATATCTCAAAATCAGCCCATAGCAAGCCTGACTTTTATGAGGGAGTAAATAAGGCACAGGCCAATTTTGTGGCATCTGAAAGTATCATTAAGGACCAGGCAAACTTGCTGTGGCATGTAATAACTTGCCGTCTCAAAGCCAACCTCAAGATAAGATGACACCTGATACAGGCCTGGATCAGCAAAAGAGAAAAAGAAAAAAAGAGCAAATGTAATATCAGCCAGCAAAATATTAGCCTCGGTGAGATGAAAATGTAAATGTTTCTCCTCCTGCGTCGCTGGT